CCTGGCTAATTTTTTTTTCTTTTAGTAGAGACGGGGTTTCACCACGTTAGCCAGGATGGTCTCAATCTCCTGACCTTGTAATCCACCCGCCTCAGCCTCCCAAAGTGCTGGGATTACAGGCATGAGCCACCGCGCCCGGCCGAATCAATTTTTTTAAAAGAGAAATTTTGATTAGAATCTTTAAAAATATCAATACTTCTCTTTCCAAAAAAGGAGGATTTAAATGTAACAATTTCTTGAGTATTTCTATTTATTTTCATTGTTGCTTAATATTACTCATAATAATGAAAATGTATTTGCTCTCTTTCAAACATAGTTTTAATTAGTTGCACAGTATGCCACCTTATAGCCTGATGTACTTCAAATTTCCCTGTCTATGAAAGCTAAGTTTGGATATTATCATCTGAAGTATATTATAATCTCTGTCTTTAAATCTATCTAGGGTTCTACCTTTTCTGTAACCCTTAGTGAATCTCACTATAGTCCTCCTTCCCTTTAAAAATGCAGTGATAGGCTGGGTGCGGTGGCTCTTCCTTGTAATCCCAGCACTTTGGGAGGCTCAGGTGGGAAGATTGCTGGAGCTCCGGAGTTCAAGATCAGACTGGGCAACATGGCGAAACCCCGTCTGTGCAAAAAATACAAATTTTAGCCCAGCATGGTGCCATATGCCTGTAACCCAGCTCCTTGGGAGGCTGAGGTGCGAGGATTCCTTCAGCCCCGGAGGTCAAGGCTGCAGTATGCCACTATCCTGCCACTGCACTCCCGTCTGGGTAATAGACTGAGACCCTGTCTAAAAAAAAAGGCCGGGTTGGCCGGGCGCGGTAGCTCAAGCCTGTAATCCCAGCACTTTGGGAGGCCGAGACGGGCGGATCACGAGGTCAGGAGATCAAGACCATCCTGGCTAAAACCCCGTCTCTACTAAAAAAAATACAAAAAATAGCCGGGCGAAGTGGCGGGCGCCTGTAGTCCCTGCGACTCGGGAGGCTGAGGCAGGAGAATGGCGCAAACCCGGGAGGCGGAGCTTGCAGTGAGCTGAGATCCGGCCACTGCACTCCAGCCTGGGCGACAGCGCGAGACTCCGTGTCAAAAAAAAAAAAAAAAAAGGGCGGGTGTGGCGGCTCACACCTGTAATCCCAGCACTTTGGGAGGCCAAGGTGGGTGGATCACCTGAGATCAGGAGTTCATGACTGGCCTGGCCAACATGGTAAAACCCTGTAAAAAATTGGTTGGGTGTGGTGGTGGACACCTGTAATCCCAGCTACTCAGGAAGATGAAACAGGAGAATCACTTGAACCTGGGAGGCAGAGGCTGCAGTGGGCAGAGTGAGACTCTGTCTCAAAAAAAAAAAAAAAAAAAAAAAAAAGAAAAAAAAAGGAAAAAAGAAAAGAGAAAATCAGTGATAGGTGAGGTAGCTCATGCCCGTAATCCTAGCACTTTGGAGGCAGAGGTGGGAGGATTACTTGAACTCAGGAGTTCAAGACCAGTCCAGGCAACATAGTGAGTCTTCTTCTCTACTGAAAATTATTTTTAATTATGCCAGAGTGCTGGTGTGTACCTCTGGTTTCAGCTTATTTGGCAGGCTGAGGTAGGAGAATCACTTGAGCACAGGAGATCAAGGCTGCAATGAGCCGAGATGGTACCACTGCACTCCAGCCTGGTAGACAGAGTGAGACCCTACCTCAAAAATAAAAATAAATAAATAAATAAAAATTCAGCAATGGAGTTGATGGATTCGAGGTTGAGAACCCCCAATGTGAACCCATTTGGAAAAAACTCAAACTGTGTTCTTCCTCTGCTTCACACCAAAACCACAACAATCAACCCAGAAGACTTCTGTGGCCTCAAAATATGAGATTTCTCCCCATCAACAGCAAGGAATCAGTTCTGCAGCAGACACCAGCTGGGTGTCCACCAATTCGATTCTAACACTATACACCATGACATAGTGTCACCCCATAGGTTGAAGTCTCAGCCCCCAAAACTGCTCCCCTTTCAGACACCAGTCACAAGTCCCAGCCTCTAGAACTTCTGACTGACAGGTTCAATTCGGGGTTCCTACGACCCCCTTTTTGGGTTAGATTAAGTTGCTAGAATAAAATGGCTCACGGACCCTCAAGGAAACACATTTACTGGCTGATTATAAGGATATTCCAAAGGATACAGATGAAGAGATGCCTACGGTGACGTATGTGGAAAGGGGCACAGACCTTCCATGCCTTCCCTGGGCACGACCCTCCAGGAACCTCCATGTATTCGGCTCTCTGGAAGCTCTCCAAATACACTCCTTTTGGGTTTGTAAGGAGGCTTCATTACGCAGGCATGATTGATTAAACCACTGGCCACTTGCCATCAACTTAATCCTCAGTTCCCTCCACTCCCCAGGGGTGGGAGGGTAGGGGCTGAAAGTCCCAACCCTCTAATCCTGCCTTGGTCTTTCTGATGACCAGCCCCCATCCTGAAGCTATCGGTCAATTGCTGACATATAAAAACCCAAAGGCTGTGTGCGGTGGCTCATGCCTGTAATCCCAGCACTTTGGGAGGCCAAGGCAGGCAGATCACCTGAGGTTAGGAGTTCGAGACCAGACTGGCCAACATGGTGAAACCCTGTCTCTACTGAAAAAACAAATACAAAAATTAGCCAGCGTGGTGGCGCATTCCTGTAGTCCCAGCTACTCGGGAGGCTGAGGCAGAAGAACTGCTTGAACCCGGAAGGCAGAGGTTGCAGTGAGTGCAGATCGTGCCACTGCACTACAGCCTGGGTGACAGAGCTAGACTTCATCAAAAAAAAAGAAAAGAAAAGAAAAGAAAGAAAGAAAGAAAAAAGCCAGTACTTAGGAGATTCCAAGGATTTTAGGAGTTGTATGCGAGGAAAGAGACAAAGACCAAATCTGTATTTGAGAAAATCACAGAACCGTATGAGTATTTAATTCAATACAGACATGGAAACTGGCCGAAGCATTTACTCACAGATGACTGGGCAAATCCCTGGTCCTACTGGTACAAACTATTGATCAAGCCCCCAATCTCATTCCTACCCTAAAATACAGCAAAGCGAAAGATCTTATTACCTATTTGGACTGAGATTAACACCATCCCATAAACTGCATGGCTTTCAATCCCAGGGCTATGGTGTGTGATGCCACATAGAATATGCACTAATCTCTCCAGCAATTGAGTTGTTAGGGTAAAGGCTCTTTTTGCCTTCTTTCTCTCACAGCCAAGAAAATTAAGGAACATGGACACAAAGGATGAGGTCGGAGCGGACGTTTAATAAGCAAAAGAAGAAAGCTCTGTCCAGCGGAGGGGACCCGAAAGAGGGTTGCCAACTAGGAGGCTGAATCTGGGGCTTTTACGAACTGGGAAGGGGAGGAATGTGCTGACTGGTCGGTCTGTGGGCTGTCTTGGAGAAAGCACTACTCAACTTGGCCCTGGGACCTTAGCCCAGGACCAATCAGGGGCTGAAGTGAAAGTTTGGCGCAGGACCAATCAGGGGCTGAAGTGAAAGTTTGGCCCAGGACCAATCAGGGGCTGAAGTGAAAGTTTGGCCCAGGACCAATCAGAGGCTGAAGTGAAAGCTTGGCTCGGGACCAATCAGGGACTGAAGTTATGATTCAAAGAGGCTGGGCTCAGTCTAAAGCATATCCAAAAAAGGAAAGTGGCCGCCGGAACCTGTTAGTCCAAGCTGCACCATTTTGTAAGCCCCCACCATTTCACAGATCCTGGTCAGAGGGAAACATTCCATTGTGGTTTGGGCTGTGAAAAACATCCTTCCCAACCGCCTGACTTCCTTATCACATCCTGCTGGGCAAAGGCCCAAGAAACATCCTTATAAACATTCTCCCAGGCAACAAGCCATACCGCCCAGACCCCTCCTGCTCAGGCCTGTAGTTACCCCAGCCAGTGAGCGGCAGTGGGCTCTGGGATTTAGTTGGTCCCCGCCATAGAGCCGCCAACTCTCTCTTTAACCCTCACCTTCCCTTCAAAATCTAACACCCCACCGTGCACATGCCCACAAAAGAAGCGACTATTTCCTGGAAGCCCGCTGGTCACACAAAGGACAAAGGCGTTTCTATGTTGGGCCTCGGTCCCTTATCAGCGCAGCTGAGGAATGTCTTCAGAACAACCGCCTGTGCGAGTTTTCCTTATCTGTGCCTGCAGCCTGATTTTTCTGGCTGTTTCTCTGTTTAAAGGAGTTTTATCAAGGACCCACTCTAACTGCCTAACGGGTTTTTTTCTCTCAAGGGGACACACAAAGCCCCAATCGCACACACACCTCCCTATATCCACTTCCCCACTGCCTCACAGCCAATCGCACTTTCCTCTCTCACACACACCAAGGGGCCTCACACACACCAAGGGGTCTCTCACACACACCAAGGGGCCACACAAATTGCACCTGCACAGCCACAGACCTGCAACTCACGCACACACGGTACAGCACACACAGGTAAAGTCACACACCCACCCCGGGACACGCAGTCCAACCACCCAGTCACCGGTTCTCCACATCCGCAGGCGCCACGAGGCTCGTCCGGGACACACATCCACTCCGGGCGCGCACAGTCACAAGCGCCCACCTGATCACCCAGAGTCAGCACCACACAGCCACAGTCACAGACCACGAAGACCCGCGGCAACCATGGCGATCACACACGCAAAATCTTCTCCTCAGCCCTCCACACACAAAATGACCGGAGCCGGATTCCTCACCCTCAGCTTTCCGCGGCAGCTAATTCGGCACAGCAAACGGTCCCGCCACCTGGCTAAGAGGAAGCCGAAATCTCGCGAGACGTGGTGTTGGCCTGCGGGATCCTCTGGGAAATGTAGTCCAGAGCCCTACTGCGGGCTTCCCTACACCTCTCATCGCCAAGCCGGGCTTGTTTCCATTTACCGCTCCTCTGCGCCGAGGATCGCAGAGCCCTCATGCCGAGCGGCTCGCTATGGGGCTGGCTCGCCCGCTAGACTGGCCAGGCCTGATTATCCCTGGCAGCTCTGTTATCTGGGGTACGACGCAGGAAAACGTGCTTCCGGTTCTCGGCGGAAGTAGCTGCAAGCGGTAGAACCGATGGGAAATGTAGTCCAGGGCAGAGACACGGTCAACCCAGCCACGATGCGAGCCAAAGCATTCTTCGCTCCAAGCCTGGTCCTGGCTGTTAGTTTGGAACTCACATACCCAGATGCTAACTCGCCCTCAGAATGCAGAGAGGATGAAACACTGAGTGGACAGTTCAATCTGTATATGGGTGAGTCCAGGGCTTAGTCTGCATTGCGCTGAAAATGAAGGTGAAGGTGGAGATGGGACCTGATAGTCTCATCCCGGATCGGGTTGAAGAAGCGGAAGGAAAGGAATCAAAATCGTGGATGGGATGAGATTGTGCGCGGATGCTCTCTGGGAGCGGTTCGTGGGCGACGAGGGCCCGAAGATGCTGCCTTGTGATCGCAGGTGTGAGTGGAAGCTGTGTGAGTGTCAACGTGGGTTGCCTGTTTGGGAGACCAGCATTGTATCTTTGTATCAGGTAGTCACCTTGGAGCCAGGTATTTGTAAAATTATGATAAAAGGGCATCATTCTGGAGCATCGATTTTATTTGGAGGTTGACAGGAGAGGGAAAAACAACCCTAATATCTGATAAACAACATAAATAGATTTTTATGTTAAAATAGTTATATTTATTATGGGCTAGAATGCAAATCCAACATGCCTTTTAAAGCAAGAAAGAATATTTCTTTTTTTATATATACAAAGTCAAAGGTATTATTTTTATACACTTATTACAAAACATATAAATAGTATACCAAGCCTAAGAATATAAAGAGTAGAGTCTAGCTTTAATTAATTGAATGTAAATTTAAAAACAAGTAGTAAGTAGTCCTTTTCACACATCGGAAAGCCAATTTCGGTATTTTTAAAAAAACTCAAATTACAAAGTAACAGATATCTAGTGTCTTAGCAACTTTAAGATCAGTACTAATCATTAAGCCAGCTTATATGCTAATATGATACATGAAAAAGCCTGTATTTTACAAATAGCAAACCACTAAAACTTTAACTTTCCACAGAAGCCATTGTTTTACACCAATAATTATGTTAAAGATCAAGTCAGGCTAAAAGTGTCTTTTTTTTTTTTTTTTTTTTGAGACGGAGTCTCGCTCTGTCACCCAGGCTGGAGTGCAGTAGCGCGATCTCAGCTCGCTGCAAGCTCCGCCTCCCGAGTTCAGGCCATTCTCCCGCCTCAGCCTCCCGAGTACCTGGGACTACAGACGCCTGGAACAACGCCTGGCTAATTTTTTGTATTTTTAGTAGAGACGGGATTTCACCGTGTTAGCCAGGACGGTCTGGATCTCCTGACCTCGTGATCCGCCAGCCTTGGCCTCCCAAAGTGCTGGGATTACAGGCGTGAGCCACCGCGCCTGGCCCCAGGCTAAAAGTATTTAATGAGTATTGAATCCATGAAAACTTGGCAAATTTCTCCACGAAGGTAGAATTTTAATTTCTGTTTAAACAATGGATAGATGGTACACCCTTGTGAGGGTGTACTGTAAGTACTTCTAAGGAGATTTTTTTTTTTTTTTTTGTTTTTTTGCAGAAGAGTGTCGCTCTGCAGCGCGTCCCAGGGCTGGTGCAGTCGGCGGATCTCAGCTCACTGCAAGCTACCGCTCCCGGGTTCCAGCGCCCATTCCTCCGCCTCCAGCCTTCCGAGTAACTGGGAACTACAGGGCGCCCGCTCACCTCGCCGGTAGTTTTTTGTATTTTCGCTGTAATAGAGACGGGGTTTCACCGGTGTTCAGCATAGGCATGCCTCTCGACATCCTGACCTCGGTATTCCGCGTGAGTGGCAGGTCATACATTGTCCCGTACACTGCCGACTCCAGCCAAAAGTGCTGAGGATGGTTACATCTACAGGAGACCAACCTGAGGAGCGCAGTCTTCAGCCGGGTTTGTCAGTCCCAGTATCTTGTTTCTTTTGTTTTTTGTGATAGAACACACGGAGGTACTCGCGTGCGAGCACTGCTGCATGGACAGGCGCCATCACCTACATCTCGAGCCACAGCGTATGAGAGTGCAGTTGGAAGCGATCTCGCGCTCCACTGCAAGCTCCGCCTCACGGTAGTTCACGATCCGCCATTCTCCTGGCCCTCCAGCTTCCATGAACCGAGTAGCTCTAACCGCGGACGTTCCTTCACTCCCTCTTCCCTTTTACTCACTTGCTTTTCAAGTCACTGCCCGCTCATTTTGTCTCATTTACTCTTTTTAGTAGACGATGCGGAGCGTGGTTTACGACAGTATAAGACTGGTAGAGACACCCATACACAGATCTTCTTTCTTGAACACTATCATAGCTCGCTGATACCGCATACACCGCTCGGCCCCAAAGTCCACATACAACTATGGACAGAACACACCGTGAGTCGCACACCCAGGCTTTGAGCGGTTATCCAATTTCAAATATAAAGGCTCCTTCAAACTCTTTCTAGTGTAGATAAGACTACTGAGGGAAGACGAACAGACAAGGGGTGAAGAAGGAAGACTGAACTAGTAACACTTCCCTTCTACAAAACCCCCAACTCAAATCCCGCAAGTGGTTAACCAGATGACCAATCTCAAAACTGTTATATGAAATTCCTAGTTTCTTACCAACAACATTTATTTTTAAGATAAATTCATCTCCTGGAAATATTCCAATCATTTAAGCAAGAGTTGAATTAAACAAATAGCGTACGATTGTTCGTGGGATAGCCGGACAACCTACATGGAAAATAGAGGGCTCTCACAGCAGCTTTCAACAGAGCCCCACTGTTCACCTCACACTAGAGTGAGAAACAGCGAGCGGAGTGTAAGTCCAGTGCACAATTCGCCCCAGCCTCCCTACTTCACGGATGGCCATCAACTCTGACCGTACGAGGCGGCGACGTCGACCTCCGTACACACAGACGCTCCCCTCTTGCTGCTGTATCATCGCAGAAGAGATACAACAGTGAGCGTACGTTGAACGAGTCACTTCCTTGAGAGAAGCTATCACAGCGAACCACAAACAGTAGCATGAGATGCGTCTCTACACATGCACAAGAGGCGTCACGACACCGGCCAACCTATCTAGACAACTAGCCAGTCCAGAGAGACGGTCCTATTCCGCCCCATTCAC